AACGAGTATAGAAAGCCAGACACGGGTATGGGGGCAGGCCAATGGCTTTTCCAACAGAATGAAGAAGTGCCACTCAAAACGGCACATGCAGAAGCGTCTTGGGGGTGCAGTGCACCCCATCTGTGTCCTGCTTCCATTAGCTTGGGAGGAGCAGAAGGTTCATGCAGTGTGGCTGAAATAAGTACAGGTCACAGTGCCTGCAGGAGAGCGGTCATTGCCGAGTTCAGCTTGGAACTCTTGAAGCTCTCCAGCAGAGAAAAACAGAACTGTAGTATTAATTTAATCCCTTTCTTCTTTCTATATGGAGTTCCAGCCATGTGTTAGACACCTATGTATAATCAGTAATTATGCGTGTGTATTGTGTATTATACATGGTGTCCGCGCTCCCTACTGAACTGTATGCATAGCTTTTTCCACTATACTGGGATGGAACCCAGGGTCTCACCATACCCCACGCAAACACTCTTGTTGCAAACTAGAAACACTGTTGTTAACTAGAAAATCCAATTGTGGAGTACCTCCCCACAGTGGAACACAAAGAGGTAAATGGGCTCCTGCTCACGGCCAACCTTGTGCTCGCTGCCTTGGGGGAACCTCCGACCTCCTTTGCCCTTTTCCCATCCTGCCCAAGGGAGTTCGTCCTGTCTGTCTAACTGGGAAGGGGTGAAGGATTTCTGCATTCCCCATGACATCTGGCTGACACACTGACATTCCAGGTGTACCCCACGGCGACGAGGGCACTGGGCCTGGGTACCTGCAGCGGCATGGCGAGAGTGGGCGCCCTCATAACTCCGTTCATCGCTCAGGCAAGTGTTGCCCCAGTACAGACCCAGGAGGCAGCCAGCAGTGAATATAGTCTTGTTTGGTTGGTTTGGGTTTTTTGACCCAGGGTCTTACTGTATATCTGGGACTCTCTTGGACTCAGGATCCTCTTGCCCCTACCCTCCTGAGTGCTGGGATTAAAGGCGTGCGCCACCACTGCCCGGCCGGTGTACAGAATCTTAAGACCAATGGGACCTGAGTTCAAATCTCAGCCTATCCTCATTATATAAGCTTGAATATGCTCCTTAGGCTATCTGTTGAGATATGTCTTATTCTGTAGCCCAGGCTGGCCTTGAACTCACGCAGTCTTCCTGCTTCAGCCTCTTGGTGCTAGGATTAGAAATGTGCATCACACACCTGGTGACTTATCTACCCTCTTGAGCCTCAGTCTCCTGGTGGGGAAAGGGCGGCGGGGGGGGGGCTGGAGGAGGGAGGGCAGGGACATC